ACCACAATGTCTCTTAAGACTTTGAAGTTATAGAGTTTGTTGACAACTTTCATCACCACAATGTCTCTTAAGACTTTGAAGTTATAGAGTTTGTTGACAACATTCACCACCACAGTGTCTCTTAAGACTTTGAACTTACAGAGTTTGTTGACAACTTTCATCACCACAATGTCTCTTAAGACTTTACCTTATAGAGTTTGTTGACAACGTTCACCACCACAGTGTCTCTTAAGACTGAACTTATAGAGTTTGTTGACAACATTCACCACCACAGTGTCTCTTAAGACTTTAAACTTATGGAGTTTGTTGACAACTTTCATCACCACAGTGTCTCTTAAGACTTTAAACTTACAGAGTTTGTTGACAACATTCATCACCACAGTGTCTCTTAATACTTTAAACTTACAGAGTTTGTTGACAACATTCACCACCGCAGTGTCTCTTAAGACTTTAAACTTACAGAGTTTGTTGACAACATTCATCACCACAGTGTCTCTTAAGACTTTAACCTTATAGAGTTTGTTGACAACATTCACCACCACAGTGTCTCTTAAGACTTTAACCTTATAGAGTTTGTTGACAACATTCACCACCACAGTGTCTCTTAAGACTTTGAACTTATAGAATTTGTTGACAACGTTCATCACCACAATGTCTCTTAAGACTTTAAACTGATAGAGTTTGTTGACAACATTCACCACCACAGTGTCTCTTAAGACTTTAAACTTATAGAGTTTGTTGACAACGTTCATCACCACAGTGTCTCTTAAGACTTTAAATTGATAGAGTTTGTTGACAACGTTCATCACCACAGTGTCTCTTAAGACTTTAAATTGATAGAGTTTGTTGACAACGTTCATCACCACATTGTCTCTTAAGACTTTAAACTGATAGAGTTTGTTGACAACGTTCATCACCACAGTGTCTCTTAAGACTTTAAACTTATAGAGCTTGTTGACAACGTTCGTCACCACATTGTCTCTTAAAACTTTAAACTTACAAAGTTTGTTGACAACGTTCATCACCACAGTGCCTCTTAAGATTTACAAAAGACACGTAGAAACGTTCATTGTCACAGTATATAGTTACAACTTTAAAGTATATATTCACAAAATTAAAACTACAGAGGATTTGTCGATAAAGACCTGTTCTAAATTCGTGTCTATTATTACGAGTCTATATCTTGAGTCCTTACGTCTAAGTCAGAACAAAAGCCCAGAAAGCTTGGGTTATAAAAGATCCCTTTCGAGTGTAATGTGTGCTAACGCCTACACGTGTCGTCAAAGTAAACCAGTTTTTAGGAATGAAACAAACTTCTTAAATAAACAAATAACGCTTCGCTGATGAGGGTGTTTTTGACTCTTATATCATAAAATGCTCTGTTTGCATTCAAAACCATAAGGATGGTTGAACGAATCTCGAGATATCAGTGTGTGTGATATCTCGAGATATCATAATGTAAGCCTAATTAATTAACTTGTTTATTAGTTTTTATCGTGAAGATGGTGAATGACATTTTTTCCCCATAGATTGATTTTTCGTTGCTTGTTTGTTGTTAAGCGCACAGCTACTCAATTTGCTATTTGTGGTCCGCCCACTACGGGTATCGAAACCCGATATTTAGCGTCGTAATCTTCCAGACTTACCTCTTAGACCCTCTGGAGGTGCTCCTTTTATTCAACAAACAATGACGTTATGGAGCTTAAAGAACGATGTATCAAGTCAGGCCGTTAAAAAGTCCTGCAGCAGTCACATTAATTAACCTTTCTGTTAAGTATTGTATATCTTGTAAAATCCATTAACTCTGATACAGCCGGGTTAATTAACGTCTCTGATTAACATTGTTTATCATGACTGTTAACAAGGCTTGTAAAATCCAGAAACCTTGATACAGCCAAACAGAGACGTTAATTAACCTAACATTGTTTATCATTACTGTTAACGAGGCTTGTAAAATCCAGAAACCTTGATACAGTCAGGTTAATTAACGTCTCTGTTTAACATTTTAGATCGTAAACAATTTTTTAAATCGGGAAAAAAATTGTTAACAGAAATTATTCTGCTGGACTTTACAAATATATATGTGTGTGTGTGTGTGTGTGTGTGTATTATGGATTTGAAATTGTTTTTCTTTTTAGTACAAATAAACATATGCACGTGAAAAGTTATCTTCTAAAGATCAATTCTAAAACAAGTAAAATGTTTATCTTTCCCCATCTTGATTGTTAGTTTGTTTCTAAAAAAAAATCATCCACAGAAAGTCTTCTCGACGAAAATGAATCTAAAAAATTGTGCCTTTAACCGAGATTTTGTTCACCCTGATATAACTCATATTTGAAACTTTAATGGAACATCAGAAAGTTAAAAGATTATACCTAACCGCGCTAAACCTAAAAAAATCCTGATAGCTCTTTCTCACAATAATGATCTTATACAAAATTTCTGACAAACGCAACCTTAGACATATTTTTTTTCGCTAATTCTGACAAAAGTAGGCCTAGAATGCCAAAACCTGGCAGAAATAATCCTAATAAAGACAAAGTATTACTTGTGGCAGAGATAATACAGAAGTGTATTTCAGCTGTGACAATTATTGAAATCCTGGTACCATAAATGTCTGTCTGTCAGCTATTAAAGTGTATCTTGTTTTCGAATGAAATAAAACGAGGATACTTCCATATCACGCTGTTATGTTACGAGCAGCAAAACGAGGTCTCAGAGTAATTTACATATTAATTGGTTTTCCGTCCAACTTTCACTGTACTCCTATTGTTCGCATCAAAAAGTGAGATAAAATGCACGTGCTTTGATCGCGTAGCTCTAGTTGTTCAAGGGCACGGGCTTTGATCGCTCAGCTCTCGTTATTGAAAGAGTACATATGCTGTCAAAGCGAACTTAATAGAACGCTATTTCTTCTTCGCCCACATCCTTCGTTTAAAGTCAGAAACAAGAACCTGTTTACCATTTGTAGTGTAATCCACAGGGATAAAACCGGAAGTGTGAAGAGTCATAATTGAACGTAGATGCAGAGCAGTAATCTCCCGGTTTGTTTATTCAAAGAAGAGAACGCTAGGCTCTGAACCACAGGTAGAAGTAGGCGGGGCTGTAGAGAAAAGTACTTCCAACGCTTTATGGTTTTAGATGTGAGATCAGTAAAAGTTAGGGCAAGTAAGCTCCATATCTAGGTCCTTTAAACATAAAGCCAGCTAACTGGTCATCTGTGTTCTGTGATGCTAGCTGAAAAGGAGGCTCACAGCTTGATAGTGAACTATGTCATCCTCATCGTTCTGCTGTTCATCCTGTGGTTGTTGTACGTTGGGGTAAGTGTTTATTGTCATTAGTCAGTAACGAACTGTGTCATCCTGTGTTTGTTGTACGTTGGGGTAAGTGTTTATTGTTATTAGTCAATAGAGAACTGTGTCATCCTGTGGTTGTTGTACGTTGGGGTAAGTGTTTATTGTCATCAGTCAACAGAGAACTGTGTCATCCTGTGTTTGTTGTACGTTGGGGTAAGTGTTTAATGTCATTAGTCAATAACGAACTGTGTCATCCTGTGTTTGTTGTACGTTGGGGTAAGTGTTTATTGTCATTAGTCAATAACGAACTGTGTCATCCTGTGGTAGTTGTACGTTGGTTTAAGTGTTTAATGTCATTAGTCAACTAATGTGATGCCCTTATACAATTAACCCATCACTGCGGCTGGTACATACATGGAAAGATGTCAGAGAGGCCTTTACGAAAACATCTCGTTGCCATGGGAACAAGTGCCGCCTAAAATGGAGGAAATCCAGATTATTTTATGGACTTACGAGATAGCATTCACTCTGACGAGTTGACGCAGAAAATAGAAAAAAAAATGATTAGAGGTCATACATGTACCATTCTCATTGAATGGGTTAATACAGAAAGTTAAGAAATATAGTTTATAAACACTGTTGTTTAAATAGCATACTACGATTTATTCAGAATGATTACTTTTTGTTCCTTTGAGAAGTTACTTCCGTGATGTATTTTAAGCTTCACGTCACTGTAGCACAAACATGTTCTTAAGAAAATGTGAAATACAAAAACGTTTATAGAGGAATGAAAGGTTAAACATTTGGTATAAGTATGTGTATTTAATTTAAATTCGTGTGCCTCTGTTGGCTCGATGGGGGGGAAACTCCCCAGTTGCTTAATTCTAAAAGCCAAATTTTGATACACGAGGTGGGAAGAGCACGGATAACCAACCCATCGTGTAGCTTTGTGCTTAATAACAAACAAATAATCAATCAATGGTTTGGAGGCTTATAACCCTAAAATTTGGAGCTCAATCCCAGTGGTGAATACAGCGCAGATTGACCATTGTACAACTTTGTGGTTAAACCAAAGTCGTTTAAAGTTCTTATTTAATATTTTCTTTCCGTTGTATACCCCGAACCACAAATCTTTAAGTTCTCTCTACATCCTTCCTGTGTTCACCTCAGTTCTTATTTTTATTTATCTTATTCGCACGTACACTTCA